TTGATAATCAACCAACCCCTTTCTCTGTAGCCATCGATGGCTATTTATAGCCAACCCCTTTCTCTGTAGCCATCGATGGCTATTTATAGGAGTTTGAGCACGTAACCGACGTGCCATAATCGTGGAGTCATGGGCGTAACTGATGTGCTCTATTTATAGGAGTTTGAGCACGTAACCGACGTGCCATAATCGTGGAGTCATGGGCGTAACTGATGTGCTAAACTTGTGGAGTCGTGGCGTAACTGACTCCTGGAATCTAGCCCACGTGGCTGACTGAGTCTTCATGACCGTTACAGCCTGATTTAATGCGGGTGACGAACTTCACTGCGTTGGCGAACCTCGTCCTTGATGTCGAGCCTCATTGCATGGCGAGCCTCGTCTTTGATGTCAAGCCTTGCTGCGTGGCGAGCCTCGTCTTTGATGCCGAGCCTTGCTGCATGGCGAGCCTTGTGAGCTTCGTCTTCACTAACGAGCTTTAAATCTGATGACAAGCTTTGGTTTTATTGACGGACTTCACCTTCAGTGATGAACTCCGAACCTCATATCTAATGACGAGCTTTGAACCTCGTATCCAATGACGAGCTTCATCTTTGGCAGTTAGAGTTCAACTCGTGTCCAACGACGAGCTTCGAACCCTATATCCATTAGTGAACTTCGAACCTCGTATCCAATAACGATCTCCGAATTCCATATCCACTAGCGAACCTCGAACCTCGTATCCAATGACGAACTCCGAGTCTCGTAGATCCATTTTATTCAATAATGAACTTTATCTTTCAATATTGAGTTCCGCTGCATGGCGACTCTCGTTCTCGAGGTTGATCTTTTCTAAACAACGAACCTCATTTCTGATTGAAAATGGGTTTGTTTCCCTGGCCCTTCTTTTCACCTTTCGAATTTTGGCATTTTTTAATGCCTACACTTGGCTTTGATGCTTGCAATATGGTCATTATGTTATAGTAATTCTTAACGTGCTTAGCCAAATCTCCGTCACCCTTGTACTTCTCCACATGAGGCATCTTGAATCTTTCACAAGTGGCATTCATGATTTCATCGGTGAGAAGTGTTGGACCCTAGAGGGGGTTGATTAGGGTCTTATGCTAATCTAATTCAATTTTATACCAATTAAAACTTATTAATATATTCTTCTTGCAAGATAAATATACAATATGATGTGAGCAAGAATATGCAATATGAACAAAAAGAAATATCCTAGCAATGAGATATACTATGAGTTATATGCGAGGATATACAAACTAATAAAAGGGTAAACAATCTAAACTAGATAGTGGGCAATATAAGCAACAATCAATATACAAAGGCGATATAAGATATGAACATAAAAATAAGTGCGCCAATGTAATCACAAACAAACGATATGTTCATGGAGTTCGGTCCCCACGACCTACGTCTCTGCTCCTTACCTTAAGGAGATCTCCACTATTACAACCAGGTTTTCTACGCTCACCCGAATAACGTTTACACCACACAATATCGGTTTTTAACGTTCACCGATCAACGATCACAATCTCATAATGTAACTACACTCCATACTCTCTAAGTGTTGGTCTCTGGTCCGTGTCCTTCCTCAGGTACTCGGATACAACCTCTCCCTAGGTTCGTCAACCGATGTCACTCCTCTTGGAAGCGACCCCGTCTCTTACCACACACTCTTCTAGGTGTACTAGTGTAATACAAAGTGAATCTCACAATAAGCACAATACAATATATGATTGTTCTCTAATATGGATGAGAACATAATGTAAGCTCACTCTCAATTGTTACAACTCCCCACAACCTAATTATACAATGTATGCAAATACAATAAGCTCAATGGTTGTGTTTGTAAGCAATGAGAAAATCAATCATAAACTCAATCTAAATCCTAGCTTGATAAAAATGATAAACAACAAATAATTAATATAAAGCTAGTATTGAGTTTAGAAATTCTTCTCTAACGAAACAAGATGGAGAGATGGATTAAAATGAAGCTCAAACAATGTAGATGATTTTCTCCACCTTTGAAACAATCTTCAAAAACCAAACAAACTTTAAACCAAACTTAAACCCTTGTTAAAACTCTTTTAAACTTGTTTTAAAACATTCCTCTTCAGTTTTCTTAGAACTAAGGATATGTGGGGGTATTTATAGGAACCCCAAAGCCAAGAGAAAACAAGGCAAAAAGACCAAAAAACTAAAAATAGTACAGTCTGGAAATATATCTGTTACAGTGTTATGAGTCGACTCAGTACTGTTCATGAGTCGACTCATAAGTAGCCGTTACAGGCTAAAAATCAACTTATGGGTCGACTCATAAAATTCATGAGTCGGCTCATCATGCATGGGTCAACTCATGAAGTCATGGGTCGACACAGCAGAAACAAAACACACTTTCCAGCACAGTTTGTGAGTCGACTTATGACAGGCATGAGTCGACTCAACCTGATGGGTCGACTCATGATATTATGAGTCAAATCGTCAGAAACAAAATGTAAACTACACAACAGTTTATGAGTCGACTCAACACTGTTCATGAGTCGACTCAAGACATGCACACTGTCTATTTTAAACAGAAATCTGATTTTCAAACCTCTTTTAAAAATAGTAAATAAAATCAGAAAAATATAAAACTTTGGAAAATAATTGTAAACATGATAATAAACATACTATAAAAACTGGTTTTCAAAAAGGATCTCTCAAATAAAAAATATCATTATTTTGCAAAATAGTCCAAAGCATGAAAATGTAAACACATGAGTTTTGACATTTTAGCTTAACCATGTTTTGAAACATGATTTTGTAGACTTAATAAAAGATGTATATGATTATTGTTAAGTCCAAAAACTAAGAATACAATATTTTCATAAAATTGCATATTTTGCAAATTTTTCAAAAACAATAAATATGATTTCATTGAACTAAATAAAATAGATATTGATGAAATTATATATATGCATATAAGTATGAAACAAGAAATGTATTTTCAATTGTATTCAATTAAGTATGAAACAAGAAATGTATTTTCAATTGTATTCAATTGTTTCATATTAAAACTTGAAAACTATCAAACCAAAATATATATGTATATATATAACTATATATATACATAGAAACCACAATTAAAGTGTGTGTATATATAACTACATATATATACAGAGAAATCAATAAAATGTGTGTGTATATATAATTGAGCTTAAAGTACTTAACACGCATAATATAAACTCCTAAACTAATTATACCCAAGCTTGTGATCTTCAACAAAGCTCTATCTTGGTATACATGTGGATGAAGCTTGAACTTGTATCTTCAACTTGAATTGCAAAGCTTCAACCACTATTTCAGCTAACCTCCATTTGATATGATCGTTATGACGCAATTCCATCCATCCTCTAACATGTTTTTTGTCTACAATAAATAGATAAATACAAACACTAGACAAATAACATTAGTCGTAAATTGTTTGTTAAACATTATCAAAACAAGAAAGCCAACAAGAAGTTATTCCCCCATTAGCTTCGACGATTAGCCAGAAAGACCAATCATAACCAAACACCAAATTGGTTAAGTGCTTTAATACTTTGAGTTAATAAGGTTGAGCATGTGCCTTTTGATGTCCCGACGTGAGAGTTTGAGCAAATTTTAAGGTTGGGACAAAGATTTTATTGGAGAGATGGAATATTATTGTCTCAAGTGGGGTAAGTGCTTTAATACTATGTTTGGGAGTTTACTAAGAAGGGAAGAAAAGAAAAAGTAAGCTAGGTAAAGAAAAGATAAGAAAGAGAAAAAAAATATAATATCTTATTTGAGAGTTTTGTAAGGGGAATGGAAGAGAACTTAAATTATGTCGTTTGGGAGTTCTGATTATGGGAAGGGATGAAAAGTAAATGAATCTTAACCATTGATTCATTGTGATAGAGGTCAATATGTCTCTTTTATTATGAAATTTTACGCTCCTCTACCCCCCAATTTGGAGGGGAACAAATTAATTTTTTTTTCCTTCCTTTCCTTTCCTTACCCCTCTTAAAAAAAGCAAAACTTTAACATTGGTCCTTAATGTTTTAACGATATTTCATTTGGTTCCTTAACGTTTTAAACTCATAAATATCAGTCCCTAATGTTTACATTGTTAGTAAGTCTGGTCCATTTTAAATATTTCTGTTAACTTTTGATGACATGGCAGGAGCTGTTTGGTCAATATTTCTGTTAACTTTTAGGTATATTGCTGAGTGGACTCAATTTTCATTATCTGTTGCTGACGTGGCAGGTGATTGGATTGTCTTTCTCTCTTGTTTTTTCACGTGACCCCCTACAAGTTTTAAATAATTACAAACAACTCCCTAAAAGTTTTAAATATTTCAAATAGCCCTTTAAGATTTTTCAAAAGCTGCAAGTGATTCCTAAAAAAATTTACAGCCAACCCCCCTAAAGTTTTTAAAATTATTAATAGAACCCTGAAAGTTATTTGTAATTTTTAGAACTTTCAGGGGCTATTTGTAATATTTTTTAGAGTACATTTATGAAACATTCTTGGGTCCATTTATAGTTTTTAAATTCCATGGGTTGTTTGCATATTTTCTAAACAAGGGGTTCCCCTAAAGATTTTCAAAATAACCACCTAAAAGTTCTAAAAAATTACAAATAACTTTTCGTGTGCAATTTGCAGTTTTCAAACATTCAGGGGGTTGGTCGTATAATTTTTAGCAGATCACTTGTTGCCTTGAAAATTTTTAGGAGGTTATTTGTATTGTTCCAAATTTTGAGGGTGTTATTTTTAATTTTTAGAATAAAATTTTAGTTGTTTCTATAGTGTTTTTAGGGTGTTAATCTAGTCAGCACTCAAAAAATAAAATGGACTAAAACGCCAAGCCACATCATTAGAATTTAACAGAAATATTCAAAAAGGACTAGAATTGCTAACGTATTTGTACGCTAATGTATTTGTACGGCCCATCATTAGTTGAACAGGCCAGATCTACAGGCCTGCTTTTCAACCTCCCGAAAGTCCACAAACTTCAAACTAGTTAACTTCCCAGTTCACTAACGATTAAAAGCAGCTTTGACTAAACTTCTACCCTTTCTCCGTTATCCAACTCCCCGACCTCCGTCGCTCTCAAACTCAAATCTACAGGAGCGCTCCTTGAGATTTGGGGCGCCCCCAAAATACCCAAATAAAGTTGTTAGCCAATACTCTCCCCGTATGCAAGCAACAATCTTGTATCCTCAGTATTACCCAGTCTCCACTTCGTCCGTTTGTGGCTTCTCCGGTTCCAGCTTGCGCTCAGTTTGTGCAGACTTGATGATAGAAAGCAGCCTGTTATCGATGTGCGTGCAGTATGTTCGATGATTTGCCTCGATGGGTTTCTTTAATGTCAACTCCGGAGGTTTGTTTACTAGTTGGATTGGTAATTAACGATTGTGAGCTTGCACATCTCGATTATCAATTTGGAGCATATTGCTTCGGTTTATGGGAATATTGTGACTTGTTTATCACTGTTTATTTGGGTTTTGACTGCATGTTCATACGGGTATGATTGCTTGAACCAGAGCTTACAGTCAAAGTGTTAATTTGGAAACTATTTGTTGGAGTTGTACCACTGAACATGAAACAACATTGGTAAACAACTAATTATGAATATGCTAATGCAATCTGACTCACAAATATAATTTGAGCTTACCCTTGATTCTATTCTCAGAGTATTTTGATTTTTCGCTCATTGTTTCTTGGTTTTGATTGCATGTTCAGATGTTGATATGGCTCGAATCAAAACTCAGTGTGAAAGTGTGTTTTGGAAATTTCTTTTTTGTTAGAATCTTACATTGAACATGGAAATGCATTGGGTAAATGTTCAATTGATCTTCAATCTTCAAGAATTAATGGTTACTTCTGGGTCCTAGTGTACACCGGAGTTGGTTTTATCATGAGCCTACCCAGTTTTAGTGCACGTCTTGAGAAACCTATGTTTCTGGAATTTGGCCTCTGTAATTTGCTATATTGTGATAGAGATTGTAACTTTTTCACTGTATGAATGGTTCAATTTATTAGTCTTGCTTTCTTGAATTGAAGTACATGAAAGATTGGTAGACAATGGACGAGAAATAAACATGACATTCGTTGCCAAATATAGAGTTAATTATGTAAATGCAGTTTGCAAAATATCTGTTGAATTGTACCCTTGAACATAGAAATACTATGTGTAATGCTGTACTGACTACAAATACGAGTATACAATCTGGTTCACTGACATAATTCAGAATACACTTGCTTCTATCATAACAGACTAATGATATGGCTTTATTGCGAAAAATTTAGAGCACATTCAGTTCAAGCAGAGAATTTATTTGAGAAAGCAATACATGACAGGGCTACATGATTCCTATCATTATGGAATCCGGATCACTTGTTGAACTGTACCTTTGAACATAAAGTACATTTGGTAACACTGAACGGATTAGAAATATGGGAACTGAATCCAACTAATGAATACAACTTTGGACTCTTCTTGCATGATATGCAAGCATCACGCTTTCTGGGCCTGTGGAAAACTTGGGCTATGATGAGCTAATTCAGTTCAACTAGAGGATGCTTTGAGAAAACCTGTCCACGACAATAGTATACCGTATTTTAATTATTATTTAACTTAGCTACCTGGATTTGTTAAAATTGAGATGAGAATTGTAATTTTTCACTCCATATTTTAATTGATTTGTCAAATGTAGAAGTCATGATATGCGTTGCCAAATGTAACTGATCTTGTAAACGAAGTTTCTGAAATAGTTTTCGAAGTAACCTTTGAGCATAGAAGTACGTCAGCTAATCAATGGATTGACTGTGAATATGGGATTGCAATCTCACACACAAAACCAATTTGGATTTTTCTTGTATGATCTTCAACCATAATCAGTTAGTGAATAGTGAATACCTGCTTGGTTTTGGAACTGTCAGCGTTGTGCTTAATATGAGCTTATTTAATCAAGTGGAACATGTACTGGCAAACTTATGCCTGGCTATGAATTAATAGCTTCCTGTTTCTTATCTCATGATAAAAATTCTGATTTTTTTCACTCTTTGATAAGTTCAATGAATTAGTCAAACTGTATTAACTTTTAATTAAACAGAAGATGGTTAGATGCCATGAATCACAATTAAACATGGCATGTATTTCCATATATAGAGTTAAGGTTGTAAATGCAGTTTCTTAAACAGTTCAACCAATGCATTAAGTACTACTGAAGCGGTGAAAGTTATCTGACTAGGGCTTTATGCCAATGGACTGACTGTGAAACTGGATGCAACTGACAATGGGCGAGTCTCATGTGTTTGTCCATTTTTGTCAGATTATAGTGACATTAATGACATTAAAGTGCATATCCATCTATTTTGCCTCATTCTTCTTTAGCAAAAGATTGCAAGTTTCAGATACATATCTTGAGATGAAAATTGTAACCTTTCGCATTCTATTAATCAGTGTTACTGTGGTGACTTTTAGCTGTATGAGCAGGTGTCCGGATGCCTTGAATAAGATAAGCCATGTGTTGATTGCTGAATATGGACTTATGGCTGTACATGCAGATTGCAAACAATTTTTCGAACTGTACTTTTGAACATTTTTGTCTAGTATAGGAGGATCATAGTCTGGTTAGAAATTGTTAGACACATATTTAGCTATGTAACTTATCTTCCTCTGAGTAAAGCGTAAATTTCCTTTTAATATATGAACAAGCAGATAGATATAGTATACTGTGTATAGTGGAAACCCTCCAACCATATGGTTATGTTTATTAAGCGTATGTATGAACTATGAAGAATGTTCATATACTTCCATTTGTGTGTAGTATAGTGGAAAACCTCCAACCATATGGTTATGTTTATTAAGCGTATGTATGAACTATGAAGTATGTTCATATACTTCCATTTGTGTGTAGTAATAAGTATATACTCGTCTTTTATGGAAAATGTCTTTCCATAGTTTAACGCCTATAGGCTTGCTTAAACAGAAGTTGAAATGAGAAGCGTACCAGCAGACACAGTGGTTGTATTTAGACACAAATGTTATCTGCCAACTAGCACGTGCACTGCATGCAGACACACTTGGTGCTGTCTTCCACCTGTGTCATGTATGCGACAACATTCGATGCCTGTTTTTTATCAACATCATTTTATATTACTTTCCTCTTTTGCACTCCTCTCTCCTCTTGGCATCCTATTTATGAAGAATACATCCTCTTAACCTGTACCCAAGTCTCAAGCATAGTCCTCTTCCTTCTCTGCCTAAGGGGAGGAAGAAGTAAAAGAGGAGAATGGAGGTTTTCTATCTTTTATTTATTTTCTATTTTCATAAACTTATTTATATATCTTGATCTTGTTTTCATGAATCAATCTATTTTGTTCAGGTAGAATTTTCAAGCAGAATCCCTTGCTGGTTGGATGCATTGTTCAAAGAGGATTTCTTTGATCCTTGTTTAATTCATCTAGGAATCAAGCAGAATGACAAGAATATATTTTGCATAGATTGTTGTTTGAGCTTCTGCAACAATTGTTGTCCTAGCCATTTTGGTCACCGAGTTCTCCAAGTACCCACCCTTTTCTTCCTTAAAGTTTGTTAAGTAATATGTATGAAGGAACTAATTTCCCTCTTTCTCCACTTTTTATCAACTTTCTTGTCATAGATCCGTAAGTACAATGACCACAGAGTTGTAAGAGCAGAAGACATGTGCAAACTGATCAATTGTTCTTTCATCCAGGTAAAAGCATTGGAAAATTATGATTAATTGCATCTTCTTAGAAACCTGAAACACATTATGTTTTGGGTTTTTTATCTATACCCCCATTTTTTTTGTTTCGTTCTATATTTAGCCCCCCCCCCCCCCCCGCCCCCCCAAAGAAAAAAATCTTCATATCCTAAATAACCCCTAAAGCCATTAAGTTGTTTTAAATAAGACCCCATCTCGAACAAATATGAAGACTTTGGGGGTCTACTCTAGAAATATGAAGATTTGAGGGTCTAATGTAAAATTAACAATGATTGGGGGGTCTTATATGACAAAAACTTATATTTTTTGTCATTGGTTAGTTTACCATATAAATGCATGTAAAATAAAATTATATGATTGATAAAGAAATGCCTTTTTTTCTATTTGTACACTGCAATTATGCAATTAGATGCTGATTATTTTCATTTGGGAGCTTGCATGTAGTCATATATGCTGAATAGAGCACAGGTAGTGTTTGTGAAAGCGAGATCTCCAAGCAAAAAGAAAGAGAAAACACAAAGCCAAGAACAACCTAACAAGAAAAAAGCAAGAGAAACGAAACCGCATTTCCAAAACTGTGACAAGACATGCTCTTCCTGCCCGCGTTCTCTTAAAGAAGAATTCGAGTATTGTTCCGTCAGTTGCATGGTAATATGTTTAAAAAGAGGCTACCTTTTCTTTTAGATTCATTTTTTAAGGAAATTTAGTAATTTATCAGGTTTTTACAGGTGAAAAAGGTGCTGAAAACTGAGGGGAGCATTTCGAAATACCTTCGCCGCTTCCTGCCACTTCCACTGAACTTTGAAGAGACTGATGAGGAACTAAGTCTTATTGACCTTGTCCTTAGAGATGCAACCGCATGTGGCTCCACGATTTATGGTAATCGACGCGGTGACAGCAAAAGAAAGAAAAAGAACAATGAAGAGGCCCCTCCTTGTGCCCTAATCAGTTTGCACAGAAGGAAAGGTGTTCCTAGGCGAGCACCTCTTTACTGAATGCAAGGGTATGTTTGATATTGCGAATATAGGGTTTACTGATGGCTTTTGGATATGATTTCATACTGTTATCATGATTTGTTATAGGAAAAGTTTTCATTCTCTTTGCCATCACATAACAAATGAGTGATTCATGCTTCAAATTATCCGTGCCTTATTTTCTGGGATATGTTACAGATTTAAGTTCAAAACTTTGTGATTTGTTGCATTGACATTAATAATATATGCGGAAAACTAGCTTGCTTCTACTGAAGTTTCAGATCATTATGTTGTATTGAACTGTTCTTAATAGAAAAAGACTTCATGGTATGGGGTTCAACATTTGTGTAATAACTCTATGACTTACAAAGAAGTGTCACTTAATACTTTCTTCAACTCAAAGTGTTTAAGCTTCTCATCTCTTTTGGTAATTCAAAATGTTTGATAAAAAATTAATTATTTCCAAAACAAACAATCCTATTGACTTTGTTCGAGAAATAAGACTTGAGATAAATGTTGTCATGTCCAAATAAAATGTATTGTGTTCGTCACATGGTTAAATGTCGTGTTTACGTATAGTTTATCACATGGATAAATGTCATACCTTTATACAATATATCACATGGTATTAAATGTGTAATCTCTATTATAAATAAGACTAAAAGATGATAGGGCTAATTAAGCTTTCTCATTCTCTTTCCTCTATTTCCAACATGGTATTAGAGTCAAGTTCTTCGCCCTAGAGAGAATCTCTCTTCTTCTAAAACATCAGGACATCTAAGGGGATTTCGCTACAAGCGCCATCTCAGCACTTCCTCTCGGTAGCTTCATCATCTTCTTGGTTAAGATGTATTCGCGTCCAGCTTTCATGCTTATGCTGCTTACCTCTCGACTTATTTCACAACGATTTTATCGATTTCCTGATGTTGTGGACCTCTTCTCTTGCCTCTTTAGGAACCACCTTTAGCTTGTTCAACAATCCATTTTTATCAATATTTATTATTGCTGATTTACTTCTACTTCAGCTTCTTTCTGTTTTCTATCTCTATATTTGAGACCTTATTATTTGTCTTCATGACGAAGATTCTAATCTTTCATATCCATGACGAAGATTCTAATCTCTTTTGTCTCCATGACGAAGATTCTAGTCTCTTTTGTCTCCATGACAAAGATTCGAATGTTTGTCCCCTGTTAGAAATCCTACTGATTGTCTATGTGTAAGGCTTTACCGCTGTTTGTCCGAGTCCAAAGATATTTTTGATAATCTATATTTTTAGATCACTACTGGTTACTTCTGTATATCTAATTTCTTCTACCAAAATTTTGATGATATTGTTGCTGAAAAAGCCATCGAAGATTGGACACAAACCATGAAGATTTTTAATATTATCATATAGTGCTACCTTTCGCATAAATACGACCATCAGATATTAATGCCTTCTAGTTGCTCTTTATCTCAATATTCCCATTTTGCTACACTGTCCTTTTCTCTCCATATTGCTTTTAATTTGTGAGTATTTAGAACCACAAAGCTTGACTGTTCATATGGTAGTATGGTAGAGTATTTCCTTCAAGTTCTTGAGTTCCACAACCTCATAATACTCCAAAGTAACTTCTCTAGGGCTGCAAATGAAGCATGTAGAAGTGTTACTATGCTTGTGGCCATTAATTTAAAGAGCAATCTGGGAGCCTGCTTAGATGCCCGTCTAAGCCTCAGCAATACCTAGGCCACTCGCTTAATTCTTGAGAGTGCCTAGAAAACATAGGCTGTTTATGTGGACTCACCGCATCAAAAGGGTTTTCTTCCCTGCTTAAGCATAATAATAGATAAAGAGCATGAGTCAGGTAAAAATGGATCAGATCACAATCTTCTAAAACAGTCAGGATAGAATTTTGAATCTTTTAAAAAAACCTTCTTCTCTCAGAGCTAAAAACACTTATAGGCTGCTTAGGTGCCCTTCTCTCGGAGCTAAAACGCTTTTAGGCTGCTTAGGCGCCCACCTAGGCGCCCAGGCACTACGCGCTATGTTCGGCGCTAAGAAGCACCTAGCACTTTCTTAAACACAGTTGTGGATTTTCCCCTTTTATAAATTACTGTAGACTATAGAGGTATCTTTTTTACTAGTAATTGTAAATATGGTCATTCTCTTGTTTCTCATTTTATTAGTCTCTCTCAAAGCTCACGACGTGGCTCATAAGGTTTATCCTTGACAATTTGCACAATTGTTTTCGTATCTCCTACATTCTTATAAACAGGAACCACTTTCTCATCCTCATTCATCAAGCATTAAACCATTTTCTTTATCCATTTTTTAAATATGGACTACTTAGTTCTAATATCTCTCTTATTTCCCCAGACCTCAGGTTAATTTTCGTAATGTTCTTTAACTATCTGTATCCTCATCTTCTTAAAGAATCTTTCTCGGCTACTCTTAGTTACCATGTGAATCTAGACTTAGATCTCTTAAATGGTTCCCATTAGACAACCTCCTTTAAAGTTTTTTACTTTTTCCCTTTTTCCAACTAGTGTATAGGGTCTTTGCTTTAAACATTTCCATTATTCACTCTTTTTAACATCATGAAAAGTTTGAAATATTCTTCTCTCTTCTATAAATTCAAAATTCTGGATAACTTGACATAGCCTTATAGTAGGCTGCTTGTTAGATTTTGCTTTTTTTTAATTATTGTTTTTTAATTTTCTTGTGCTTTAAACAAATTGATTAGCTGCAGCATGGATGTTATGCTTTAAACTTGTTCATTCTTTCTCTCTCTTCCTTTAGCGGGAGCACTACTTTTTCGTTCTCCTAGAACACTTCTGCAACTTTCTTGATACAGTTACATATTTTATTTCTTGAACTTATTCTCACCTTAATCATTTTATCCTTAAACATGTTCATTTTCTTTCTTTTATACTTCAACATTTACTTTTAGATTTTTGTCTTCTAATGATTAAATTATATTTAATGCAAGCTACTTATCTTGCATGCTAAGCACATTATAGTAGTTTTCATTTCCATGCTGATAGTTACATAATACTAGGTGGCATTTGGAGGTGGTTATGATGATTTAACCTTCATTAAGTTAGAAACTCTATGGTGATGTTTTTGGCAACACATGCATGCAATTTCATGCATCACTGCTGCAATAAATGAACAAATGAAATGACCTCAACCAATTTTGTCGTTATTTTGGAAGAGTTATGCATAATGGACCGCAATCTGTAGACCCCATTCTCCTACTGGCTTGAGGACTAGCTGGGCATTTAATCTCAGTATCCCACTTTGCTGCATTCTTTTTTCTATTACATTTTCCTTTATTAGCTCTATACTTAGATCCGTAAGTATGGCTAACATCAATCTGGTAGTATATTTCCTTCAACATTATGAGCGTTGCAACCTCATAATATTCCAAAAGCACTTCTCTTCTCAGTCTGCAAACAGAGCATGTATATTAGTACCATATTTGTGTTTTCCCCCTCCTGTTGACTTTTTTCCATGAATTAGTCAAGGGAACAACTTTAATTCTTTCCTAACCAAATTGATTTTGAAATTGGTCATTTCTATTTTGTGACCCTCTCCCAAAATTCATGGTGTAGCTCACAAGTTTTACTCCTTGGTCATTCATATGGCTTATTACATCTCCTTTATTACTATAAGCGTGTCGCTTCAAGCATTTCCTCTATCTATTTTTTTAATATAGGCTAAGTAGTTCTATTATCTCTTTATCTCTTAAATATTTCTAGCCCTCAAATTAGATTATCACGTCCTCCAAATACTTTGCATTCTCATCTTCTTTAAAGCATTCGTCTACGGTGATGTATTTCTCTGGGGATATTGATAGTTATGTCATCTGAATTTATACTTACATCTCTTACCTGTTTCTTGTTAAGCAATCCCCTTTACAGTTAGTTACTTTTCTTTGCTAGCGTGTCCTTGGTATGAACATCTCAGGTCTCTATCCTTTTTTCTACCTCATCATGACAAGCTTGAAAAATGCTTCTCTTTCATATTTTTAAAATTCTGCATAATCTAAGCCTATATTTAGCCTTCTTGTTAGGTTCTATGATTTGCTTATTCTATAGTTTTCAAATTTTATTGTATTTTTAATAAATCAGTAAACTGCAGTGGCTATCACCTTGGTGGGTTTGCAGGTAGCTAAAGATTTATCCTTCATTAAGTGAGAAAATCTATGGTGCTGTCTTTTTAGCAGCACAAGTACGCCATTTCATGCACTGCCTGCAATAAATGAACAAGTTTACTGAAAAATGATCTCATTATAAAAAAGTAATGCTTATTCAACTAGTGTTCCACTTATCGGAATCTCCTTTGGTTGGAGGAGTGAAAAATGAATGAGAAAAGGATCACTAGTGTAACGTGCCCCATATGCCGGTACATTGCTCTGCCAATGCTATCACTGCTCATTTTTAGAATTACTGAACTCTGTTAGTCGAGGATGTTGTGTTTCAATACTTCTTTTTCATCTTAACTAAAACTTGCATTCTGGTGAGTGACGTCTGATGAAGAATGACCTCTAGAGTTCAATATGAAAGTGAAAATTAATGGGGATTATTTTTCCTAGAAACATTCTAGATGATTGGATATTCGATTGATTTATTTAGTTTTCTTTTATGAGTTGTTCTAGAAATAGTATGTAGTTTTATTTACAAGTTGTCCTAGAAATAATATATAGTTTTATTTACGAGTTGTTTTAAAAAAATATTTTAAAAAGAATTATTCTAGAAACAAATTCTATTTATGTTTTTCTATTTTTATAGTTGATTAGGAATTTAGGATAGACTAGGGAATGTAAATCTATGTGTTTCGTTGTTTTGTGCTTTAGAGGAATAAAATTTGGTAGTTTCATGGCTATATAAGAGACTATTATGTATGATGAATGAATGATATTTTGATGATTAGCCCTGTTGTTATTAAGTTGTGATACCTCCTCAAAGCCTTAATTTCTTTCCATTTTCCTTCATCCTCCCTTTTTCTCCTCTCTTATTCTACATCCTTACATGTCCTTCAACAATGATTTTACATTTACACCTTTAAGCCGAGTCCTTTATGAGGACTATAGTAGTCTTTAGTACCAAAAGCTTCCTTGTAACCTTACAGCAATTCGTCAACCAATTTCAAGCAGCATAACTGATGAGGAGGGGGGAAGAGTTTCAATTTGGAGGCGATAAATTGGCGACGACTTGGTGGAATGGTGTTGTAATCCATCACGAACAACAAGAAGGTTACCGAGATGAATAGCGCGCAAGTACTGTTCAATGATGAACAATACTCCTCTTTTTGGGGTTTTAGGTTTTATTTTGATATCTTTGAATTGCGGTGATCTTTTGTTGAGAGGGTAAATGAATAAAATGTTTGGGGAGTGAATTTTGATTGAAGGATATTGTAATTGAAAAGTTAGGATAAAAGAAGGAATTCACACCCAACAACACCACACCCCGACACTACACATATTATAATTTTAGCACTTCGCATGCTACCAAAGATTTCACATCTTAAGAAATTTTCTTTTCATTAATCATAGTTTAATTCCTCATGAAGGATTACTACTTTATTTATAAAGAAACACCTAACTTGGAAAGTAAATCAAATCCTAACCAAATTCATCCAAATTATAAGAAAGAGGAAATAAAGATAAAATCTCTAACAAAATAAATCTCAGTGATCTTAACAATCTTAAATCAAATCCTAAGAGGATCTTTACCTAAAATTGAGAGAATACATTAAATATTACTAAAATAACAAAGATACTAGTAAATCAAAATTTCTGATCAATGGCTAACGATTGTCCTACATCAAAACTCCACTTGTTTGAGAAAACTCGACCTCGAGTTTTATAGTGAGAGAGTGTAGTGTGTAATTTATTCGATGGAAAGTATTTTCTCCAAGGTTGTAGGAATTTCAAGAGAAGTTGTAGAACCCGATATTAATATGATGGTGGAGGGTCTGGGAGAACGAAAATAACAATCAGATTAATCTGGATCGGGAGTTTGCACCGCATATCCATCTTACATTCGACTTCTAGGCTTGACTCAATTTCAGGCTTTGGAGTTGATTCAAGCTTTGGATTTGAATCAACATTTGGCTCAACTTCCAATTCTAGTGAGTCGTAGCTCTCATTCAGGTTTGAGTTCAAGATCGAACTTTGAATCAATTTTCTGATGTGGTTCAGCTTTTGGCTTGAGCTCAAGTTGCGTCTCTCGCTTTGGGTTAGACTTTGAATCACTATTTTGCTCTAATTTTTCTTCTAGCTTAAGCTTTGGCTCTGAGTTGATCTTCCAATTTGGTTCTTCTTGTTTTAGTTCAGGATCCAGTTGTGGCTTAGTCTCCAATTTTTGTGTTGCTTCTACATTTGGGTTGAACTTAAGGTCTGACTTTGGGTCTTATCTGGCTGGAGTTGAGGCTCGTATCTTTGCTTTAGTATTTGAAGTGGATAATATCTTCTAGATGATTGAGATGTGTACCTTCTTTCCAGAGGAGCTTCCATACATGCCCATGAACGAATACTTGAATGAAAACTTGGATAATTTCTAAATCACCATATTTTGCTTCTCTCTTGAGCTTACACTTAGCATATAAATACATTTCCAGATCCGATGTATCGTAGGTAGAAATATATCTTTTTTATTAAAACCTAGACTTCAAAATCATATGGCCCTTCATATTCATCAAATCCATAAAATAAGCTAGAGTACCAAATTTTAATGAATTGAAATCATACCCTTGTGAAGGAGGTAGCAATGTTTTACCTTTGGTAATCGTAGATCTTTCAGCTCGATACCAAATGATGGGGAATGAGTGGAGGGCTTCAATCTAGAGGTGAGAAATTGTCCGTTCCGCTGTTTGAGGTTTTTGTTTTTTTTTTTTTTTTTTTTTGATATTTTTGAATGGTGGTGATCACATGCTCAAGATCGTAACTCAATTTTTGATCAATCATCAATTTCTAATTTCTCATGTAGGATTACAACTTTATTTATGGAGAAAAACTAAACCTGGAAACTAAAGCGAATCCTAATCAAATTCTAAGAAAAAGAAAACAAAGATAAAATCTCTAACAAAATAAATCTCAAAGATCCTAACAATCTTAAATCAAATACTAAGATGATCTTTACCTAAAATTGGGAGACTACATCAAATATTACTAAAATAACATAGATACTAGTAAATCTATAACATTTCTGATCAATGGCTAACGATCGTCCTGCATCAATAACCCAAATTCCATACCTCTTCATCAATAAATGAAATGTTATTAATGGATTGAAGGTCGAGATGGAATTACATATGATCATGACCAAAAAAGACATTTTATAATTACCTTTAGTGATTGTTAGTTACACTTTATTATTTTCGTGCATTGCATCCTATCATTTGAAGGGCTGTATGATTTTGTTGTTTCTCTAATATAATTCATGAGGACTTTATGAAGTCTGTTTAGCATGAAATTTCTGAAAGGGTCATTTAGAAACGACGTAATTTATCTCCAGTCAGCATCTTATTAAGAACTTATGTTAGTTTCAGTTAATTCAGCAAGCAAACCGTGATATTCATGTTTTGAATAGTAATATTATTAAATTTTCTTATTTTGTTATGGTTTGGTGTGACCGTTAACATATTTTTCTGTTCTTTTGATGTAAATGCATCTACGAACTTATGAACTATCTACAATGTTCATGACTCTTTTTTTTAGAAAATATTCATTTTTCTCCAGTTTGACGTAAGAATCATTCATAACCTTTTCCTCTTTGTTTCCTTTTGCTAGGTTTTGGGTTTTCACTTCCTAGAAATTCTGCGAACTGCAGAAGAATGCATTTAAGTGGGAGATAGTTATCAGGAGGGTTTCAAGTGTTGTTTACCTTTGAACATGGACTTATAAAGAACATGAGCTTGAACATTGTACAAGTTCTGAAGTTGGTATCTAAACAGTTTTATTTTCAAACTGTTTTGCCATAGTATTTTCTTTAGAGCTGCTTAAATCATTTGTTCATTTGTGGTATTATTACTTTTTGATTTGCTTGGTCTCCCCCCCAAAGAAAAAAAATAAAAAAAGAAGGGGCGAACTTTGGGTGGTTTTAACCCTCTTGAACTTTGTAAACAAAGAGAGCTCTTTTGAACTTTCATAATTATGCTAAACCCCCTTGAACTATTTAAAATTCTTGTAAATTGGTACTAATGGGTACAGTAAAAGTCAATACTACCCATTTTTGTTGTTACTTTTTACCTATCCTTATTCGGAAACGGCAAGGTAGAAGTTATATTCAGTAGATAGGAGTAACATGGTCCGAAAGCTGTCACTTGTCTCTACGTGACAACTTATTAGAGTAATTAGCGTCAGCCATGGTACTTTTTTGTGAGAAATGTTGCATAGAGTATTTCTATGATACATGAAGTTCGGGGGTTTCGTGCAGAACCTCTCAAAGTTCAGTAGATATTGTCGTTTTGTTTCGTCTTGGTTAAGTTGTTCGAATCAAATATCACCGGTATAACGGGCTTGATCACCCCTTAATGAAGCAGGAGGTCGATCAATTTGTTGCATGATAAACTTTTGGAGCATGCTTTTTTATGAAAGAGAAGCAAAAGGCAGCTGGATCTTCTGATTTATGGCACTGTTTGATAGATATGAAATGTGTGGACCTCTCAAAGAATAATATTGCGGTTGTGTTTGTATTAACAGGTGAGTGAGTGGATAAGCTCTTCATTTTCACTTAAATTTGAGTTGTGTTAGCTGGAGTTATTCAAGTTGGTGATCACTCCATAGCAACCTCAGCTATACTACTAGTGGAAAGCAATCTGTTTACTCTCTTCAGATATATTTGTATGTCGAGCTGAGGGATGAATACTTGACAGACCTCTTGTATGACATCATTAAGTTTATCTTTTGAGTAGATATGCAAATAAATCTCAAGTGAGTAGGTAAAATATTTTCTTGCGAATGATTACATAGTTCACCTGCTTGACTTGCACCAAATTTGTTGCCTTCCTAAAAGTTTGCCAGCACTGTTAAATTCGTACTTCGGTTACGAAAGGAGGGTGTCGATAGCCCTGTCCAAAAAGGCCAAAGCCGGCCCGGGACCGGCCGGGTCGGAACCTGGCACGGCCTGGAAACCCGGGCCCAGCGGGTCCGGGCCCCCTCGCTGACGCCCAGCCCGGACCCGTCCGGCCAGGAACAGTTCGGCGGGCAACGAAACCGGGCTGGGCAGTCCGGACCAGAGCCCGGCCCGCCCGCAAGGTCACCTTGGTGACCGTTGCGAGCAAAAATCCAGGCCGACGAAAACAGTCACCAAGGGTGACCGTTTTCGCCAAACGGTCAGATTTGTGACCGTTTGGTGGGTCGGGTTGGCCCGGCCTGGCCCAGCAAGGGTGACCGTTTTTGTCAAATGGTCAGATTTGTGACCGTTTGGCCGGGTCGGGCCGGGCAAAACGAACATTTTTTGTGTTTTGATCGTTTTGCCCCTTAAAACGGTTATTTGGTGAGGAGTTTTTGGTCATTTGCCTAGGAGGCTGCCTCTATATATAGAGGGGGGTTACTTCTTCTCCTCACCAAAACTCATCTACTTCTCTTTAATACTCTCTTATACAATCTTATACTTTCTTATAACCTCTTATACTTTCTAATCATTTCATCAAATAGCTTCTGGATCTGATTTTGAAGAGCAAAATCTATCTCCTACCGATATTGAAATGAGTCCTCCTACAACAACAGCTACTCCTCCTACCGATCCTACCAGTGGTAATCTCAAATCCGGTGGCAACGAATCTGCACCAAGAGCTCCTAAAAGGCCGAGATCCGATGTGTGGAATTTTTTTGAGAAGATAGTCGTCACCAAGGATGAACACGGTAGGATCCTCACCCAGAAGGCTAAATGTGCGTTATGCGGTCGGACTTTCCAAGCTCATCATAAGAGCGGCACCAACCACCTCAAACGCCATATAGAAAAACACAACAAAGGCCAGACTCCTCAAAGTGATATCCGACAATCTATGATTTCCCAATCCTCCTCTTTTGGTAGTCTCGGTACTTGGAATTATGACGCTGTCCGAGCCAGGAAATGCGTCATCAGGTTTATTATTCTTAAAAACATTCCTTTTAAATTAGTAGAAGATGATGAATTTGAAGATTTGTTTAGAAATGATTTTTATCCCGATTTTAAAAAAATTTCTCATCAAACCTATCAACGTGACATTTTAAAACATTACAAACGGAACAAGGAAAAATAATTTCTTATTTTAAAACTTTAAACTGTAATTTTTTTTAACTTCTGATATTTGGACATCTAGAGCACAAACAGGTTATTTATTTATCACAACACACTGGATTGATAAAAATTGGTAAATATTTAAAAGAGTTGTTTCTTTTATTGCAATTGAAAAGTCACATACTAGTATTAATGTAGCCAATTTAATAGTTGAAGAACTTATGAAACTAGAAATTGATCAAAGAATATTTTCTCTTTCACTAGATAATGCAAGTAATAACAATGTACCTGTAGATTTTCTCAAAATAACTCTGTCATTGCGCTGTCATTGTGAACTTTTTCATATTAGATGTATATAACATATTTTAAATTTAATTGTTCAAAGTGTATTTACTGAAATTAAACTCATGATAGAAAAGGTTAGAACAATTGCTTATATGCATACTGCTTCTGAACAAAGACTTAAAAGATGGAAACAAATATGTAAAAGAAAAAATATTAAGACTAGACTAATTCCAAAAGATGTTGATCATAGGTGGAATTCCACCTATACAATGTTAAGTGTAGCTATAGAATATAAAGAAATTATAAATGATTTTATAAATTATTTTACTTCTAGTTCTAGCCATGGTAGCTCTTATGGAATAACTAAAGATGAATGGACAATTATATGTAATTTAAATAAGATGTTATAAGTTTTTTATGATGCTACTATGTTATTATCTGGTTGTTATTATCCAACTATTACTTTAGCTGCTTTACAAATTTTAAATATTCAATTTTTTTAATAAATATCGTATGAATGATACTTTTGGAAGTATAATTTTTCAAATGGAGAGCAAATTTAATAAGTATTTTTATGAATGATACTTTTGGAAGTATAATTTTTCAAATGGAGAGCAAATTTAATAAGTATTTTAGGCTTATTCCTCATATTTTTGGTTTGGGGGTTCTTATTGATCCATGTTTGAAGGATATTACCTTTCGAAGTTTGTTACAATCATTGTATGGTGGACAAGTTATAGACTTCGATGATGGATCCAACATTACTGTTACTTCTCATCATTTAGCTATTAGAAATTATTTTCAAACCTTATATGATGAGTACGCATCTAGACATGGTATAGCTGCACAACAGTCTGCAGCTTCAGCGCCTTCGAGCTCAAGCCGAGGTAAAAGTGTAGTTTTGATAGGCATGCAATGGTAGCTGAGCTAACTGGTGGGTCTGGACTTGGATCATCGTTGGAGGTTTCTTAAATAGATGAATATTTATCTACTTTTTTAGTTAAATGTCAAGGAAATGCTTTGATATTTTGCAATGGTGAAGAGTGTATGGATCAGTTTCATATCCTATACTTTCCACCATGGTTCGTGACTTACTAACAGTACATGTTTCGACGGTAGCTTCGAAATCCGCCTTCAGCACAGCAGGACGTTTGATTGATGATCACAGTGCAGATTTTGCCCGGCCCGGGCCTAGTTTTACGGGCCGGCCCGGATGGACAGGCCTAGGTGTCGATGTCAACATACAAATTCCCAAAGTCTAACACGGCGCGGTTCTATGTGGATAAACTCCAGTTTCAAGATAACACTATAAAGTGGATCTCCAACCCCAAACCAGGCCGGGCCCGTCCGGATGGACAGGCCTAGGTGTCGATGTCAACATACAAATTCCCAAAGTCTAACACGACGTGGTTCTATGTGGATAAACTCCAGTTTCAAGATAACACTATAAAGTGGATCTCCAACCCAAGCCCGAGTGTCTGTTGGGTCCAGATCCATTAAGGTTTACAATTGATCCGACCCATAAAAAAGAGGCGACATTAACAAAGACCAATCTCTTTCCAAACCTCGTCTCTCTTCCACCCTCCTTGTGATTATCGCAGCCAAAGCGTAGACTCCAAAACAATATTTTTGCTCCATGGAAAACCCATAATTGCCCCTAAATGTCCAAACAAATCCCAAATCCATGTTTATCCACATTCTTAAATGCAATTTGAATAACTATCCTTGTTAAGCTGGAAATTAATGGCGTGTATTCCTTTTAGCTAGAAACTAGAAAAGAGGGTGAATGTAAGATTTAATCTCATGAGCCAAGAAAAAGACGATCAAAGAGTGACGTATCAATGACAATGTAGAGAGAAAATTTCAAATTGAGTTAATAAGGACCTCTATCTAGAAAATTTGATGGTTTGTTTTGTGGTAAACTTAAAACAACGAGTCTCTAGATATAAGTTTCTTTTAGCTCACGCTTACCACATAATCAACATGTGATAACATTCTTAGTTTCTTTTTTTTTTGGATATATTTTAAAGGAACCTACATACATTTCAATAAAGAAAGAGTATAAACTAATTTCTTTTTCATAGAATCTCTTCTCACGTCAATAATAATTATTCATAAAATAATATTGAACCTTCTAGCAAACTGCAAGGAAAAAATATAAGCGCTTTTTATGCGAGATTAAAACTTGAATTCACCAAGCCATGATTTATTCTGAGGACAACTTTGATTTTGTAGGTAGGCTGCCCATAGTTTTGTTTTGTTGGCATTTAAGACTTTTATTTAAAAAAAAAAATCAAAGTCTATTTGTTTTTCACTCAAAATTATAAGTTTGTAGTTAGTTAAATATAAAAATGTTATTCTACGCCGTAGAAAAAAATAGTTTTGTTAATATTTTCTTTATCTTTAAATGAAAACACACAAAAAAATAATTTAAAATAACTACATAAAGAACAAATACAATTGTAAGGGCATATTTGGTTGCTGAAAAGAGGAGTTGAAATGGGCAGAAAGCCTGACAAAAGTTTTGCTAGACTTTCTTACAAAAATGCCTCAAAAAATAACGTTTTTACCAAAAAACATGTCAAAACTGACAGTTTTTGTCAGTTTTGACAGGCTTTTTCAAGCCCTCTTTAGCAACCAAACGGGCCCTAAGTATGTGCAAATCAAAAGAAGAAAGAGGGGAAGAAAAAGACAGTAGAAAGTCGGAAAAAGAGTGATGTGGCATTGTGGATGACGCTTAGGGACATATTCGTCCCAACAAAATACCTGCAGAAGAACCCAACAATAAAGGAGAGCAATGAAGCGGAGTCGCTCCTCACTCGTAGAAATTCATTTCCTATTGGGGGAAAAAAATGTCAATCTCCGTCCCTTCTTCATCCTCTTCTGCTCTCTTCTCTCCTTCAAAGGTAATCTCAGATCCCCAATTCTCTCTCTCTCTCTCTCTCTCTCTAACTTGATTTTTAAAATTTTATTATTCAAAATTGAACTGCAGGTTGCCAGATTGAGCTCCTCGATCCGATCGCCATCGAATCTCGTCTTCAATCTTCATCGATCATTTCCTAGGGTTTTTTCATCAGCCGGCAATGCTTCTTCTTCTTCTTCTTCTTCTGTTGAGATTTGATCTCTAATTTTGTTGAATTGATGTTTGACTTTGAAGATTCGTGTACGGAGCTGGACGCCGTGTCCAACTTCAGCGAGATCGTGCCCGATACTGTCATCTTCGATGATTTCGAGAGGTTTTATTATCTTCTATGATTCTTTCAGTTTGTTTTTAATGCTTTATTTGGGAGTTTAAGGGAAGGGATGGAAAGGTAAATATTAAAAATATAAAATGTTGTTTAGGAGTTTAGTAAGCGGAACGGAAGTAAATTTATTTTAACTTGTTTGGAAGTTCTAATAAAGAGGAGGGGAGTGAAGTGAAAAAAAAAAAATAAAGTTATATAAATACTCTTACATATTATTAAGATATTTTGTCAACTATTAAATGATAAAAAAGCTATGAGGGTATAATTTTCTTATCATCTTGTAAAATTTTATATTGGTTTCAATTCTATCGTCTACCGCCCAAATTGGGGGAGGAAAATGTGAGGAAATTTAAACTTCCATTCCATCCTCTAACCCTTAAAAAAAAACTCCCAAACGGGGTGAAAATGAAATATCACTTTAATTTCCATCCTCTAACCCCCATCCAAACACAGTGTAAAGGATTAGTTGCATGTTGTTCCTTTAAACCTTTGTAGTTTTTGAAATTATCCCCTTAAATCATTGAAATAGTCAACACATATAAAGGTGCTCCAAATTAGTTCCTGTGGTAAACTTTTGTGTGTCAATTGGAGAAATATTCCATTAAACTTAACTTTTGTGTGATGTCTTGTGGTTATTTAATATTTTTAATTGAAAATTAGGTTTCCTCCTACTGCTGCCACTGTGAGCTCTGCACTTCTGCTAGGAATTTGCAGCCTTCCTGATACCAAATTTAAGGTGATAAATGCAATTATAGTTTGGGGATAGAGAATTGACGATTGATTGAATAGAGTGTTGATGTTTATGGAATGTTTGGTTGTAGAGTGCTATAGAGACAGCATTGGCGGATAGTGAATGCTACGGGCAAGAAAATGCTAATGACCGGATGTCCTGTTTCTCTAACAAGGTTTGTCAGGATTGTTTCTTTTTAAGGGAGGAGTTGCATTGATATAATATGACTTTAATCAAAAAGGGAAAAGTAACTGAATGGTTGACAGGCTCTGGTAAATGTTGGAGCTGATTTGGCAAGGCTAGTACCTGGTCGGGTGTCAACAGAGGTCGATGCTCGTCTAGCTTATGACACTCAAGGAATTGTCAAGAAGGTATATTTCATTACTTGGGAAATAATATAGATATAGATATCGATATAGTTCGTATGAGTGACATAAAATTTTCTGTTAAGTTCTATTGATAGTCATGTCACCTTAACACTTATACTGTAGGTTTCTTTTTATATTTTGGTTTGCCTTAATTTGCAGCTGGGTTTCTAGGATTTAAGCAGATCAGGTATGGGTCTTATTGTATCTGGATCCAACATTATCATTGACGATGAATCTGTCCCATAGACTGATATAAGAAATATTATAGTATGTTTACTTTTCTTCTTTTTTATCTTCTTATTTTGTTACCATGGAGCATGGGATTCAGGTATGAAAACTTGTTGATATGATACATTTTCAAAATTAGAACAAGGATACAACACAGAGACAGAAATTGCACACAGATGCACATGCTCGTGCAGACTCTCAAGGCACAAGAGGATGCATTCTGGATACGACTTAAGTACGACGATAACAACCAAGACTTTATCCCAAATGTCTGGGGTCGGTTACATGAATCCTATTTTTCTATTCTATTCTGTTATGAGTCATCACCTCTGTTAAATTAGTCCTAATCATAACATTTTTAATTGTTTCTAGCAAATCATTCTAGGTCTATCTCTAGATCTCCTAGTCCCATTAACTCTAATTATCGCTTTTCCTAATTGGCGCACTAAGGGGTCTCCGTTGTATATGACCAAACCATCTTAATCTATTCTCTCTCATTTTAACCTCAATAGGAGCAACCTCTAATTTACTACGGGCGCACTCATTCCTTATCCTATTTTATAATGTATATCCACAAGACCACCCCAACATTCTCATATCTAACACTCATTTTTTTAACATGTTTTTTAATTGCCCAACACTCTGACTCATAAGGCATAGTTAGTCTTATAGCTATTCTATAGAATTTTTGCTTTAGTTTCATTGGTATTTTACGATCATATAAGACTCCTGAAGCACTCCTCCATTTCAACCATCCCGATTTAATTGATGCACAATATCATCCTCTATCTCACCATCACCATCATACCCTATGATACCCCGACACCTCATTTGTGGCCACGTACCCGTGTTGGGTACGTTTTGGGTGCGGATCCGCACCCAAACGGCAGGGACACGGTTCGTCTCGCGCAAAAAAAAAAACATCGCTGAAATTTTGAAACAGGACCGATCGTCAACTATTTGAGCCCAATAGCTCAAGCCCACTTGAAAAACCCTTACCTCTGAAGTGATACTGCTTTCACCACCTTCGATGATCCCATTCCTCGATGACGAATATGCTCCTCGACGACGAACTCAACTCCTCGACGACAAAATCAGAGCCTCGACGAAGCAATATCAGCGCCTCGACGACGAGTCCTGCTCCGACGACGACGAACTCAACTCCTCGACAGCAAATCAGAGCCTCGATGAAGAAATTTCAGCGCCTCGACGACGAGTATTGCTCCTCCGACGAAATCAACTCATCGACGACGAAATCAAAGCCTCGACGAAGCGATTTCAGCGCCTTGACGACGAATCCTGCTCCTCGACGACTCCTCTGCTCGAAGACAAGGTTTGATTTATGGTTTTTAGGGTTTCGTTTTTGTTTTTTCCCATTTTTTCCCTTTTCCTCGACAGCAAGATCAATGCCCTTTTTTCTCCTTTTTCCTTGACAGGGAGATCCAACGCCCTCTTTTTTCTCTTTTTTTCTCCTTTTTCCTCCGATGAGATGAGAGTTGGGGGCCTTGGGGTTGTTTTGGTTTTTCCCGAACATATATAGGGGGGCTGAATTATAAATTATTTTTAATGTTTGTATTTATTTATTTAGGTAATTTTATTAGTTCTAAATTATTAATTAAAATAAAAATAGCTTTCTATTTCTTATATGTAAGTATTTTCTTGTTAATAATTGTAGAGAATTAGATGGAGACTCCAAGTTCACAAAGCAAGCTAGAGGATGATAATGCTCCTCTTTGGAGATATGTCACAAAACTTGGAAAAGCAACGGGAGGTGGTGGAAATTGGGAATGACAATGCAATTATTGTCTTGAAACTTTTAAGAGTTCTCATTCAAGAGTAAAAGCACATCTCTTAAGACATCCATTATTTGGAATCAAGTGTTGTGCAAATGTGAAGAATGAAAATATTGTTGAGATGAAGAAAGTGTTGGAGCTAGCGGGGCTTAGATTGAAGGCAAAGAAGGGCAAAAGTGTTCCATTACCTACATCAACAACCACCATCATAAAAGAAATTGCTAAGAAGAGAAGAAGTGTGGGGAACACCCTAGAACAATCATTTAATCGTGGAGCCCGAAATCACCTACATGGTCTCATTGCCCGAATATTTTTCACGGGGGGTTTATCATTCAATTTGGCAAGAAATCCATACTTCATCGAAGCTTTTAAATATGCCACAAGCAATTCGTTTGGAGGTTATATTCCTCCCGGATACAATCTTCTAAGAACAAGCCTCTTACAAAAAGAAAAGGCACATATCGAGAAGTTATTAGAGCCCATAAAATTAACATGGAAAGCAAATGGTGTTTCTATTGTTAGCGATGGGTGGCCCGACTCACAAAGAAGGCCTCTCATTAATGTGATGGTGGTGACCGAAGATGGAACAATGTTCTTGAATGCCGTCAATGCGGAGGGGGGGACTAAAAATATGGATTATATAGCTGATATTCTCTTGAAAGCCATTGAAGAGGTTAGTCCTCATAATGTTGTACAAGTCATAACCAGTAATGCACCGGTTTGCAAATCTGCGGGAGGCATTGTGCAAGGAAGACATCCTCGTATTTTTTGGACTCCATGTGTTGTCCACACACTCAATCTTGTCTTAAAAAATATTTGTGCGGCGAAGAATACCGAAAGAAATGAGGTAGTGTATGAGGAATGTAGTTGGATGAATACCGAAAGAAATGAGGTAGTGTATGAGGAATGTAGTTGGATCACCGAAGTTAGCGATGATGTTGTTGTTATAAGAAACTTCATAATGAATCATTCCATGAGATTGTCAATGTTCAATGAATATGTGAAGTTAAAAATGCTTGCTATAGCCGAAACTCATTTTGCTTCGGTTGTTATCATGTTGCGACGATTCAAGAAGATTAAGCGTGGTCTTATGGACATGGTCATTAGTGAGAGTTGGAGTCTTTATCAAGATGATAATGTTGGGAGAGCTCAATTTGGTAAGGACAAAATTTTGGATGATATTTGATGGGATAAAATAGAATATATTATCTCTTTTACCGAGCCAATCTATAACATGGTTCGATCCGCCGACACTGACAAGTCAAATCTTCACTTAGTTTATGATATGTGAGATTCTATGATTAAAAAAGTGAAGAATTGTATTTATAAAAAAGAAGGCAAGAGAGATGATGAATATTCATCATTTTACAATGTGGTACATACTATCCTTGTTGATCGGTAGAATAAGAGCAATACACCATTACATTGCTTAGCTCATTCACTAAACCCAAAGTGAGCATTTTTTTCCTCAAATAAACTTTTAATCTACATTGGTTAGACTATAATAGTTGATATTATTTATGAATGTTTTTCTGTCTTGTAGATATTATAGCGCGACTTGGCTCATTGAAGCTCCAAATGGGGTTGCACTACACATAAATCCTGAGATCTCAAATGAAAGAGCTAAATGTTTGAAGAGTTATTTTCCTAACTCCGAGGAGCGGAGAATGGTTAATGTGGAATTTGCTAAATTTTCCGCCGCACAAGGTATATTTGCGGATCATGACTCTTTGGATGATAGGGGAAAAATGGATGCAAAGTCTTGATGGGTTATCTATGGAACATCTACACCAAAATTGCAAGAGTTAGCATTAAAGTTGATTGGGCATCATTATTCCTCTTCTTGTTGTGAGAGAAATTAGAGCACTTATAAATTTATTCATTCTCTTAAGAGGAATAAGATGACTCCACAACGAGCAGAAGATTTGGTATATGTTCACACAAATCTCCGTCTTCTTTCTAGGAGATCCTCGGAATACTCTAATGAGGAGACAAAGATGTGGGACATAGGAGGAGATGAATTTGAATCATTCAATGGTGTTGATATTTTAGAAGTTGCAAACCTTTCTCTTGACGAGCCGGAGCTTGAGACCGTTGTATTTAATGAGTATGAAAATGTTGAATGTTGATTGTCTTCTAACCGGTGCAAGGAATATAGATCTAACTTTTGGAATATGCTAGTGAATTGTAAGTTATTGGGATATAGATCTAACTTTTGGAGGTATATTTGCAACTTTAAACAATATACTTGTAATATTTTGATGGATGCTTGTAAATTTGTAATATTTTGGGGTATAGTTCTAACTTGTGAAGGTATGCTTGTAATTTTTAACTCTCGTTTTACGAGGTAGGCTTGTATTTTTGTATGCTCAAGATGAAAGTAATGAAAATTAGAATTTGGTATTATCTTCAAATCAGTTACATAACTTTCATTTGTCATTGATTATACAAGTCAATGTTACATAATAATATAAGTATATAACATACAAATTGATCTATTTTTCTATATGTTCCTCCTCTTTCTTGTCTTCTTTAACATTTTTGTCTTCAATTTTCCAAGAGATCATTGCCATCCCGACGTCTTAATTCACACCTGCAACATAACAAATTCTTTAGTTTTTTATTTATTATCTCTATTTACATAACAAAAAAATGAAAATGTAATAGGTATTTAATTCAGTATTGATCTAAAGTGAATTATTTTATATATATACAGCCGTGTTCCCGTACCCTACTTTTTACAAATTTGCCGTGTCCCGTACCCGTACCCATACCTAGGCAACATAGATCATACCTAATGATTGATCCTAAATAGTAAAAATGATTAGTTTTAGGTATTTTTAGCCATTAATATGTAACATAGGCTCTCTTTCTTTCCTAGTTTACTAAAAATGCACTCTATATATTCTGTTTTTATTCTACTAATTCTAAAATCTTTAGATTTAAGAGCTTGTTTTCATCTTTCTACTTTAAAAATAATGCTTCTTCTAGTTTCATTAACTAGCACTATATCATCGGTAAATAACATATACCATGAGATTTCATTCTGAATGTACTTAGTAAATTGGCCCATAACTAATGCAAAAAAAAAGGACTTAAAACTAACTTTGGGTGTAAACCTATGGTGATAGAAATAGTCTCTCCTTCATTAGTTCTTACTCTAGTTGTTACTCTATCATACATATCTTTAATCCCATCAATATATATACTAGATACATGTTTATTTTCTAACACCCACCACATTACCTCTCTAGACACTATCATAAGCTTTTTCTAGATCGATAAAAATCATATGTAGATCTTTTCTCTTCTATCTATATCTCTCCATCAACCGTCTTAAAATATGTATAGGTTCTATAGTTGACCTTTCAGGTATAAAATTAAATTGATTTTCAGATATACTTGTCTCCTTTCGTGGACTTTGCTCAATTACTCTCTTCCAAAGTTTTATTGTATGACTCATGAGTTTTATACCTCGATAATTCGAACAACTTTGTATTTCTCTTTTATTCTTGTATATCAGTATCAAAATACTAATTCTCCACTCATCTGGCATTCTTTTCGTCTCGATAATCTTATTAAATAGTTTAGTTAACTATCCTACGCTTATATCTACAAGATATTTTAAACTTAAATAGGGATATCGTCCGGTCCTATGGTTATTTTGTTTTTTATTTTCTTTAGAGCATCTTTAACCTTGCTAATCCTAATTTTTCGATAATATCTATAGTTTCTATCATTCACTATATGGTCAAAATCTCTATTTTGCTCACTTATTTAGTTATCATTAAACAATTGATAAAAGTAACTCCACCTCTTTTTTATTTTCCCGTCGGTCACTAGAACTCTTTGATCCCCACTTTTAATACATCTAGTATTACTCAAATCTCTACTTTTTCTTTCTAATCTTAGCAAGCTTATATACATATATCTTTCTCTCCCTCCTTGGATTCTAATTTCTTATAAAACTTTTCACGAGCCTTGTATTTATTCTCACTAGTCGCTCTTTTTGCTTCATTCCTTACTAGTTTATATATTTTTGAAGTTTTCCCTATTACTACACTTTTGTTACTCTTTATATAAATTTTTCTTCTCTTTAATAACCTTTTGTACACATTCCACCCCCTAACTCTCCTTATCGTCTAAGCTACAACATTTAAATTCTCCTAGTATATCTTTAGCCACTTTCCTAATACAAGAAGACATGTTATTCCACATAATATTAGTCTTATTATCTATATTTTATATATCTTCTTTTATTATCTTATTTTTAAAATGTATTAAACTATCTCCTTTTAAATTTTACCATTTAGTTCTTAGTCTCTTGTTCAGGTTAGTTTTTTCACTCTACTTCTTAATAGATATGTTTAAGACCATCAATCTATGTTGTGTACTTAAATTCTCTCTTGGTATAACTTTACAATCTTTGCATATTAACCTATCCGTCCTTCTAGTAAGAAAAAAGTCTATTTGATTATTATTAAAACCACTTTTAAAGGTTATTAAGTGTTCATTCCTTTTTCTAAAAAGTGTATTTGCTATTATCAAAGTATACAATATTGCAAACTCTAAAATTGATTTACCTATATCGTTCTTATCTCCATATCTGAAATCTTCATGTATCATCTCATATCCGTTATTATCCTTACCAACATGCCCATTAAGATCCCCTCTTATGAATAATTTATCTCCAAATGGGATTCCTTGTACTAATTCATTTAGTTTATCCCAAAATTTCTTTTTAGTACTCTCGGACAAGCCTATTTGCGGTGCGTAAGTACTAATAATATTAATAACCTCTACACCTAACACAACTTTTATTAGTATTACTCTATCTCCAACTCTTGTTATCTCTACAACGCTTTCTTTTATTATATTATCTACAAGAACTCCCACTTCATTCTTATTCTTCTCTTTTCCCGTGTACCAAAGTTTATATCCGGTCTTTTTAATTTCTCTAGATTTTCACCTTTCCATTTAGTTTCTTGTAAACAAATTATATTTATCATTCTTCTATGCATGACATCTACTAATTCCATAGTCTTTCCGGTAAATGTACCTATATTCAAAATAGCTAATTTAAATCTATTTTCTTGTAAAGGTCTCCTACTATTTTCACTCTTAGACCATTCTAGTCTATGCCTAATACTATTAGGTAACCTATTATATTCTTAGAACGCCCTTGCTTACTTGTCATTACACAGAAGTGACATCGATGTAATGTGTCGCTGCCGGGGGACGCCCTAGCAAACCACCCTTGCTTACTTATCATTGCATCAGGGTGGTATCGATGCAACGCGTCGTGGGGGGACGCCCTAACGAGTATATTATATGATTTATTTTTCATGTGGATCTGACTATGTTTTACGCTGGTTGTCGGCTACCTAACGCAACCCTCCTCCTTTATCCTGGCTTGGGACAGGCAATGCTGACATTAAACACATCACTGTCGGAGTTTGGATACGACTTAAGTAGATTTATAGAAATTATTTTTTTGTTACTGTTCATTATCT